AGGAGAACTTTGGGTTCCTTGATACTTTTTGAGCTGGGTGGTTTCCTTGCAGACGTTTCGTGAGCCAACTAGGGAACGTCATCAATGCTAGAAGGGAGTGGAGTTCGCAGAGAGGAGGAGGAGGAGGACTGAGGGGTCCTTGCTGTTCTCTGAGCACTAGAAGGGGGAGGGGTCCGTGAGGAGGGGGCAGGTGGGAGGGCAGCCCAATCCTGCTGGTAAAATTCTGCTCTTAAAGCTCAATCAATCCAAGAGGCTTTTCCAACCTCCCACAATTCCTCCCTCGGTTTCCTCCGGGGGTTTTTCAGCTTCAGCCACTTTGTGAAGATGGGCTCCAACTCCCAGAATCCCCCCATCCAGTTGTGTTGACTTTGGGCAACGGGGGGGGGGCTTTGCTTAGGAGGGGAGGGGCCAGAGACCTCGCACCCCGTTTCACCTGTCTCACCCACCTGTGATGAGACGGAGGTGACAGCGGGCACGCAGGGTGAGGATGGAGGGGCGGGAGATGGGGAGGCGTGGAGGGGGCTCCTGACCTCTTCACCTTCTTGCTCCGTTAGATCGGTTCTACTTCCCGGGCAACGTCCTTCAAGATGGCTCCCCCTCTGGAGACCAGCTGTCCACCCAACTCTTCAGAAACCAACAGGTAAGGAGCAACATCCAGACTACTGCAGTGCTCTCTAGGTGGGGAATCCTGGGAATTGAAGTCCACCCATCTCGAAGTCAGTGAGGTTGGGAGACTGTTGGAGGTAGGAGGAGGTTAGGCTGAGGGTCCTCAACCATCACATACCAAACCCTTCACAAGCGACAGGCAGGGTGTCAGCTGAGAAGTGAACCTCATAGGATCTTAGGGCTGGAAGGGACCTTGGAGGCCTTCTAGTCCAATGCCCAGGCCATGGCAGAAGTCTTCATACAATCCTGGGCAAAGGGTTGTCCCATCTTTTCTTGAAAGCCTCCAGCGATGGAGCACCACAACTCCAGGAGGCCATTTCTCTTCCACCGAGTCATTGTTCTCACCGCCAGGAAGTTTCTCCTTAGTTCCAGGTTGAGTCCAATCTCCTTCTCTGTCTCTCTTCCTTTGCAGCTCCGGGACATCTTGGTCCAGAAGGAGGTGGAGCTGACTCGGCTGCAGGAGGAGAACCAGCATCTCAAACACTTCCTCAACTCAGCCCTGGTCAAGAGGCTGGAGGAGAAGACCCAGGTATCCGTCCTCTGCAGGGGGACCTCTGTACCGGCAGCCAGGCCAACTCCGGACTTCTTGGCGCAAAGAAACCTTCCTCCAGCTCCATTTAACTGACATCTGGGGGTGGGTGAGGGGGTCTTCTGGGGTTTGGGGTGGGTTTCCCCCAAAAATCAAAACGGTAATTGAAGCATGAGTTTTTCACTGTTCTCCAAAACTCTGCCTATTTTCATTTGTTGATTCTATGCCATCAAGCTGAAATAACTCTTGAAAAGACTTTCTGCAGGAGGTTTGTCCCGATTATGGTCCTTCAATGTTGCCTCCATCACCTTCATCTGTCACTGAGCTTCTCTTTCCTTCCATCTTTCCCACCATGGTGGACTTCTCAAGGGAGCTGGTCTCTCCATTGATGGATGGTTTAATTCTATGAGATCAGTGTTGACTCTTAGCAGCCAAAAGGATAGAGGTTCTCCATGGCTGATCTGTCTCCAGCCTGGTCCTTCAAGTCTTCCAACGGTGGTCCCATCACTGCTGTAACTGAGTCCATCTTCTTTGCTTCTGGTTGTCCTTCTCCTTCCTTCCACCTTTCCCATCATGATGGACTTCTCAATGGAGCTGGTCTTTGGATTGATTGAGTGATTGATTGATTGATTGATCAATCATCATATGCCATTGTGTCAGGCTCACCATTTAGTGACTTCATGGATACACCTTCTCTATGGTTGATCTGTTCTTAGCAGGTCCTGAAGGTCTTCCAAGAGTCACCCT